GACTAACACCGATAAGTCCATTTGTAAGTCAATTTTTATTTTGTTACAAGGTCAAGCAGAATATACATTCATTTTACTTATTGTTTCAATGAGTTTTACACGTGTGTGTAAGTGTGTGTGTATGCGCGTGTGTGTGTGTGTACATGTAAATGTGATATATTATACAATAATATGTGTTTACGTCTTAATAAGATTTCTCAAATTTTACTGACTCCGAGAATCGAACCCACATCCTTTAGATTAGTAGTTGGGGGACCTTATCGATTGTGCTACGCAGCACACCGATCTGATCTCTGTTCTTATTACTTATGGATCTCAACCTAGAAGCTTTTGAATTAGAGAATTCATCGATAATTGGGTGTTTTTTATATCATATGTAATTAAGCTCGCTGATTTCAAACAAATTATTTATAATTATTTTTAAGTGGTCTAATAATGTTCGAGATACAGAAAAAATACGAATACTAGCGTGTAGGGCAAAAAAACTTTTTATCAATAAGCACTTCTAATGTTGTTTTGACAAGCGTGAAATGTTAAGAAAAAAAAAAATTCAAGAGCTATTTTGGCACTACTTGAACGAGTAAGTCAGATAGAGAAAGTTATTAATCGTCTGCTGTCGCGATTGCTTTGTCTCTATTGTTTTTTTACAGGTAGGCCTTTTTCGTGGCTTTTCTTGGTATTTTGCGCTCGTAGAAAATGATGAATTAGTAATTGAATTTTTTTTTCATTACTTTTCAAGAGTTCCTCCTTGGTGAATAGGATTATTTTACAACATAAATATTTGATCATAATGCAAAGTTTCCCTGGGGTCTTCCAAATGTTTTTATTTAAACTTTATCTTAACCCATTTTTAGTTAACAGTCAAGGAAATTTGCGCACGTGCGCAACTTTGAACATGTATCTGAAAAGAGACAGAGAGGCAAAGAAAGTTATACATCCGAACGTATTGTTAAGGTGTTATAGGACACTTTTTGTACGCTAGAGTGCACGTTCTATTATATGTGTGAACTTGTGAGCATGTACGTGCGTGTGCGCTTGAGTGTTTCGGATTGCTGAGTAGTGCTAAGCTACCAGTCTCCATCTAGACTTTGACACGCGTACATCCGCTTCTTTAGTCTCACTGCTTAGTAAATCCGCTTATAGTTGGCTCTCCTTTTAGAGCGTCACATAGTAGAATTGTTCGAAGATAACCCTCTTATAGTTGGCCCTTTTTGTAGAGTGACGTTTTTTAGTAAAACTACTCAAAGTTAATCCACCTTAGTAAAGTATCTAACCTCATTAGAACTGCTTATAGTTAACCCACCTACTGTAAAGTCTCTGTACGATGGGACTCTGCTCATCAAGCTTACGCTTCTTAAACTCATTAAGAAAATCTTAAATTATACGTTAGTTACAATAAAGTTTTGTTTAATAAAAGTTTCGAGTTCAGTGTTTTATTGCTTGATAAGTGTTTACCACGTTCTATACACCTGCTGCCTATTCTTCTTCATTTTCTTTTCTTCGTACACTATGTATCCAGTGTGTTTTTTGAAAAGGTTAAACCGTTTCCTATGTTGAGTATCAAGTTTGCTACACTTTTTTAAGTTATACTTATATAGGCACGTTCTGCCCTATAGAGTAAATAAACGGTTTAAGATTAGTGACCTTAAGAAAAAGTGTAAAGAAAGTGAATTTTTCTGAATTCTTCCCCCTTTGCCCCACCTCTCATAACGTATTTCCGGTCCCCTGTACACCACACATCGCCGCCACACTAAACAACGTCATAGCACCGCACTTACTATAGCACACAATCTAAATTTACTTCTTTTACTTTTTCAACCAATTTTTATAAAAAAATCATTATTTGTTAAACTTG